AGATTTGGAACATAATCTAATGTATGTACTGTCATTTTTGTCTAGTTTTTCAGGGAGGTAATCTTAATTTGCAATATTAGTCAAATAAGCTACTTAACTATATGATCAAACAAATTCCTTTCAAAACACAAAGGATGAGAAACAAAGGAAAGGAAAGGAATCATGGAATCCAGTATAGATATTGGAAAAAAAAGCCAGCAAATAAACATATAACGGTTAATACCAAGAAAGGGCAAACAAAAACTAATCTGTACTTAGCAACGTATAAACATATGATACAAATGTCCAATTTAATCATATTATTTTATAATTTTTCCAGCTTTTCATCGGTTTGCACCATTGTGTTACAAATGGACAAGGCAGGTATATGCTTTCAGGTAAGGACAACGCTCTGACCTTACGGCCATTTAAAGAAGGTTAGAGTGTGCATTATGAATAAAGAATCAGAAAAGGTAAATGAACAGATTTTGCATTGATATTGACAGAAACAGACGAGTAATCACAGGACTGTGCGGGACAGGATGTCACCTTGAGAAAACCTATGCCTCAAAACAATTTGACAAGGTAACATAAAACGATACAGGAGGGATAAAGGGAAACTATTTAGTTGTAGAACGTCAGGCATGTTTCTTTGCAGAACAAAATTGCAATCTAAACTATAATATTAAATTATCGTGTAGCGGTTTTTATTTCACATACGCTTCATACGACTTTAATCATTTCTTACATGATTAACAGCTAGAAACGAATATTCCTAAAAATGTCGCTATGACAATTTCGAGAGTCGTGCCATTTAATTGGACAAATTTAGAATATTTTATGGAAAAATTCGCAAAAATGTTGAAATTCAATCAGCCATAGCAAGCACATAAAATATTTTCAAATTGTATAGTTTCACAACTGCATAACACTTTGCGCGATTGTTAATAAGTTTACACAATGACGATACAACACGTGGAAAGCTTCGAAAAAAAATTAAATATCCATACTAAATTCTGCCGTCCTTATCAAAAACAACGTAAACGATATTTTTAACGAAATTGAGTTATTAACGTATCTGGAATCAACGAAACCCGATTTACAACCCTCTATAAGAGGTTTTTTAATACCTTAATTACTTTCAGTTTAATCGTTAAGTTAACGTTTTTCAAAGTAAAAATAACTATTATAAAAAATATAAATTAAGTACCGCACGTAACAAAAACGTTCCATGTCACAGATAAACAATTTAATTTTCGGACAATTTGTATTAATACGCCTTCATGATTTATAAACACAAACCTTCATTGCTTACTCCTTTTATGTAAACAAAGCACACCGAACATTCACCCAATAGTAAGAAGTATAACAATAAGTAGCACCAAAAGTCAAACAAATTCTTTTGAAGGCAGAAAATGACAATTGACAGCCGAAAATACAGGAAATAATAATAATAATATTTTTAATTTCAGGAATGTAGTCCCATATTTACACAATAAAACACAATAAACACAATGGTAATAAAGATGACTTGAACAAATCTAAGTTGTTCCGTTGGACAATTTTTCAATAGTACTAGCAGTAATTATTTTTTCATAATCAGTTCCATAGGTGATTTTCTTTTCGTCTTATATTTAATAATGTCTGCGAGATGCAGGAAAACGAAAGTTAAATATTACAATAACATAATATTACTACAATATTTTAAAAATTTGTATGTTATAAAAATATTTAACCAAATTTATGAATAATTTTTGAGAAATTATCAGGGATACGCGAAATTCTACATATACATACATATTATATAGTATTGCTACGACAGGCACCTGATTTTTATTTTTTACATATATTTTACAACCTTATTATCAATACAACAATATAAATACAATACCTTAAATGCTGATTTTGACAGCTAATTTTACTAAAAAATAACATTCTTTTTCTTTCTTAGTGTGAATAACTGCATTCACAGAATATTTTTAAATATTACATGAACCGGGAATCGAACAAACTAAAAATGCAAAAAATAAACACTCACAATTTTACTCAACTAATTATAAAATAAAAAAAAATAAAAATAATAAATTTGGAGAAAGCTACACGAAGTGAATTTAAAGAAATACTAAATTTGTGTATCCAAAGAAATGGGGCCCCTACTTCGAGTGACCTATCAGATACTTTTTAATAAGAAAAATACAATTTATAAATGTGATTTGCCTACTAGTGGTTTATAACCACGTGACCTTCGAGTTACAGTCGATAGTGATTTTCGATTTCATGGACGTCTTTATTGGTAAGACACTATGTTTATTGGAAAGAGTTTATCTTTATCGGTGATCCTATCGATTATAACAATAAACTTATGATGAAATTAAATAATAAACACATCAAACGTGACTATGGGACCTGTAAAGGGCCCGAAACGTCGGTTTGTTTGAAAAAACAAATATACGCGATTTAAATCCGGAAAAATAGTTTCATTTCCTATGTGTAACAATCGCGAAAACCTAAGAACTCGATATCCGTGAGTGCAGTTAATCATATTAAGAAACATAAAATAATGTTTCCTTTGAGTATAATTAGTTATCTTAAGCATTTCAGGTAGTGTGCTTCGTGTCCCATTATTTTTTACCACCCTTTATATTGTGCCTGCTGCCACAAAGACCCAATAGGCATTTTTGGAGTGATATGGCTGTGACATACAAAAGACAAAACTTATAAGTATTAGAAACGTGTTACATAATTCAATCCCATGCTCTTACCATTATTTCAATTAATTTGAATGTAACACTAAAATTACCCTAATAACTTCCTTTGTGATTGTCACTTATTTGTCAAAAGGATTTTTAAAACTCGTAGTACAATAGCAATTTCTATCAGGATATAAACAAGCGCTTTGTTTTGTACATTTTATACTGTACCTATACTAACAGTGTCCTTTAATCCCAACATAAAGGCGTATCTGATATTTTGATTAAAAGAAAATAAATATATTTTGTTACAAGAATTGGTTTCGTCCAAACTTAGTGAAGTCACCAAAATATCGTCTAATAGTCTTTATACCATTTTGTTCATAAAATACATACAAAATTATTAGTGATTTCATTCATTAAAGGTCATTCCTGCGATATAGTACACAGAATTTGATGTTATAATTAGCTGTCAGTGCAGTAAAACCTCTCGGAAGCTTGTCAATTGACGTGTAACTGTTAACAATATATTTATCCTTTGTTCTGATACCAAAATTACTCAAGGCAGAAAATATAAGGATTTTATTTACATAAATTCACATTATTCTATGCATATTAATTGAAAAATATTACATATTCGATATTTGTTTATTATCATATTTTAAAACAGTATTTATTTGTATTGAATTTAATGCAGTACTTCTAGTTTCTTTTACTTTAAAATTTAATTTAAGATATTATTTAGAAGGAATTGATTATTAATGAGCCTTTGAATCGATATCATAAAAATACATACTGTTTTTTTCTCAATTCGCCGGTTCGGGACCCGGTTCAGACAAGCGAGATATTAAAAGTCTTTGAATGCAGTATTCCTGACCTTAAAATTACACTTGTCTCCATTATGGAAAATAGAACCCGAGAGGTACCTACTTCTACCAGAAGTCTTACATGTGATATTATTAATTTAATATTATGGTACGTCGGCGGATATCCCATCTAACTTAGAAGATGACATAAAACCATTTAAAATGGTACATACAACCGCATTAGAAAATAATAGACTCTCCACAACTAACGGTTACTTATTGCTTAGAAGTCAATTTCAACAATAGATTACTCAAGAGTCGATTATCAAGGCATACTTATTGTGAAAATTAAGATATGAAAGCTATGTAAGTCCGTAAAGTCTTTTTGTAATTATTTTAGTCATTGATTAAGGGACATGAGAATACGTCTTATTTATGCATTAAGGAATTCTTCCGCTTGAAAATATAAACCTTGGACGAGAAAATGTAATTAAAATCACTCTTCCGGGTAGTAAACATAGCAGATTTGGGTTAACCAGTGTAAGTACATCTCATCTACACGTAGGTGTTTATTGAGATGTCACGAAGGAATCTCCTGACTGTACATATCTGTGTTTGCAGAATCATTGTGATATCCTCACATGACTTGATTCTCAATTAGTTAACAGAAATGTTGCGCGACTCTAGTATCAAATTCTTAAGACTTTTTCAACTAGGTACTTTGACTGTTTAATTCGGTTACCTTATTAGGATTGTAATTGTGTAAACGAAACTTCAATTTGACTTATGACTGCGTATTAGATTTCAAACAATGTTGTTGTAATGGGTACGTCGCAAATAAACAACTAACTAAAGAAAACACGATAAGTGAGATAAGACACGTCGAGTACTCGGCATGCAGAAAAAAGTGTTAATGGTGCGGATAGAAGCATTTCCTGTATAAATGTCGAAGGGAATCAACAGTTACAAGTTTCACAGGAACGATACGGGGCTGGCTGTACGACAAAAAAAAATCAGAATTTAAGACATGCGCACTGACTCCAAGAAACACGGCACGTGCCTCAATATTTTCTAGATATTACCCAAAAATGTAGATATAATGACAACATTTGATTTTATTTTCACATAAAGAACATGGTCCAATCCTACATATAATTTGACATAATAATCAGATAAATGTATTTGTATTGTACTTGTCCCAAAATTATTGGAAAAAAATTAATCCTCTGAACAAAGATCCATAGGACCGATGATTCCGTGTTTTACGATTTTACAAGCTAAGTTTAGAAATATATAAACCAGATGGCTAGCTCGCACTCAATAGAAATATTTGAATATACTTAACCCCATTAGATCATACCAAAAAAAATAGTAGCAACCAGGTAAAATAAGAAGGACGCTCTGAAAAATTTCGTCCGAATAAATCAGCCGACAACCGCATTTTATAAGTAAAACATAAACATACGAAATAAAAATGTGACAAATATAGCGACAGGTGTAATTTATTTTTAAATTTAAAACTTACCTTTGCTTTTCGCTGTTCAAAATCGATCAAATAAGTGTGTAATGAGCCTCGAGTGGCTCACTGGTGCTTTTAGAAGTGCGTGTACCGCGTTATCAATTAGCTTTAGCGAACATGATCGCGCGGATAAAATGAGTATACACAGTTCGTAAACAGTGCAGCAAGGCCGGCGCCGACGGCGACCGCTAGGCGAATATCCCGAGAGAACGTCGTGCACGAGCGGCCAAACGAAACGCTCAGATCGATACCGCCGCTAGAGAGAGCTCCCTTTCAAGTGCTTGCCAAAGTAGGGCTGCATGGACGACCAGCTATTTCGCAAATCGCAAGGGCGCGCTATAATGCAATATGCAGTCTAGTAATTCTCCGGTAAAGGCAAATAAATCTAATAAATGTTGCTTAACGCGGTATATCCTATAAAAAGAGAAGGGGACGCATGAACTGTGGGGAGCATGCGCGCGAAGAGGTAGGCGCGGCGGCGCGATGTAGTCGGAGGCGGAGGTAGCGATGGCGTCGGGCGGCGCACGAGGGACAAAGCGAATCCACGTCACACCGCCGCCCTGCCGCCGTCGCTGGCCGAGAGCCACAACGAAGCCGCCGCGGACCGGCTCCCGAGCGCACGACCTTACCAGGCGTTTAACACTAAAGAGCACGCAATAACATCGATCATCGACATGAAAGACACAAAAACTATACCAACTATTCAAATACAATAAATTTGACATTATTCAAAATAAAAACATACGCCAAATCGCTGAATGTTTACTTTAACATAAATAGGTCACAAGAACTATTAACTCGTCGTCACGTAAAATAATTGTACTAATTCTCGTCAGTGAAGTCAACGATTGTCGTGGGCCATTTATCAATGTTGTCCTAGTCTGTCCTATTCTATCACAACTCAATTTCACAAAAGGCCTAATGAATACACAGGCTTATGTTGTCCTCGTTGTCTTTATAGGAAGTAAAATTTTTACAATTATAAATTATAAATAATTATAAATACGATTTATGTTGTCGTAATAAAATATAAAACCAAAAAAAAAATATTTTAAACAGAGAACTAAGCACAGTAAACGCTGATAAATTCTGAGTTATTAAATTATACTGAACCTGTTAAAAAAAATCAAGTTTTTATTTCAAAACCAGATATTTTCATGTTCATCAGCAATTCAATAATTAAATTCCGTAATAACGTTGGGCACAATAAATAATATTACTTTCACAGGTGTACCTATTGTGCCTCTCTTACATTCCAGTAAACAATAATTTTGATAAATTTCAATTACTGTAGATATTAATTATACTTCATAAGGCGTGATAAATGTTTTCATAGGTTCTATAAGCTGTATTCTGGAAAACCACGAAGAAGTAGTAGATATTTTGAATAATTAATTTTATACAGGAAACTGTTCCAATTCTACATTACGTCAAGTTCAAATATTTACGAATCAAACTCCCATCTCAATATAAAGAAAGAGACCTATTCACGTCAAATACTGAAATAGTAAATTTGATCTAGCCAAATCGACACAAAACAGTAGTGCCATTAAACAAGTTTTTAATTGCGATTTAGTTGACATCGCACAAATATCAAATTTTCAAATCACATTAAATTAGGCCTTTGTTAAACAAACAACCGAGCTTCTACTAGCAAATAATTGGCTTGGCAACAAGGTACAAAATGGCTGCTATTGCTTTATTATTAAACAATCAATTGCCATGTGGTACTACAACAAACGAAACCAAATACTATCAGTTACAAGCAGACAGGTAACCGATTATATATTTACTGCAATTGCTAATCGGCCTGTTGCACGTAGGTATGTATAGCCTGTAAGTTCAGATGGACGCACACGTGTCGCGCATCGACATGCGTTGTCGCGCGTTGTAAAGTTCAGATGACTAGGGTACCTGCAGTGAACGATAACACGCGGACATCTACACAGGCACAGTATCAGTGCCTATAATTCAAGAACATGTACACTCAGTGCCTATAATCACCGCTGCAGATCTGCAGTCACGAGCGTTTTGAAGTATTTCAACATATGAACGCACGGTACCGTGCGCACATATGAACAAATGCTTATGGAAATACATATAGATACGCGATTTGAAAACGAGTGTTAACTTTTGCCATCTGAACTTTAACTAAAACTGTAATAAACTCTTCATTTTTTTGGAGAGCCTTATACTTACAGATATTATAGACTGATATTGATGACCAAAGTATTTTCATCTCCGTGACATAATATGGACTCCGGTAGACCCTAGCGAGTTCGTTTTGCACGGTGTTGCATGCTGTAGACTTCTGTTTAGTCTACAATCTATTTATGATCAGACCATCAGCTAAATTCTAGGTAAATTTAATGTTACGTGATTAAAATCTATTAATACGCAATAGCAAATGCGCATTACTAAACTTAAGGATAGTAAAAATCAGGCAAGTTAAAAAATGTGAACACTAGTAAGTGTTTTAAACTTATTATTGCAAATTTATTTCGATTTTGCCTAAAATTTATGTTTATTGGCACTAATAAATGAAAACCTCGCCAAAATAGAATAAGCACCACCCAGTTTTCTTTTCACTAAAGTTAAATTTACAAATTATTTGTTATTTATTTTCAACATCCTGAATATTGGTACTGTAAACTATTTTATTTGTTTATTACCCACAAATCTTCGGTCTTACAAGTTCTGGTATTTTTAGTATCTCGTAATCTGTAAAAGCCTTTTTATCGCCCATAATTGTGAAGACATACATACAGAAAATAATCCCTATTGAATATTGTAAAAATACAATAGACATTTTGAGACATACACAAAGGTATAACATTGAAACGCTTTATGATACAGTAAATGTATAAACTACTCCAAAATCTACTTCGGGAACGAATAGATTGAATGTATACCGAACTTCATTAATTTCCGGACGTATTTCAATGCAGACCCTGGATACTCGTGTTACATAGGTTCACTAGTTAAGAGTATTGCATCATGAGATACATTATACAGAATTCAAAGCGGTATCACCTACCTAACAGTAGTACAGTGCTAGTTTATTGTTTACCAAAGTACAATTTAGTCTCACCAAACAAAGTACAGCGTAGTCTCCGAGATTTGTATATTGTAGTCTCAATTTTCAACGAAGACATACATACATGCGAAATCACCAAAACCTTATAGTACTTAATATTCACTGACGTCGAGTGCCTATCGTTTTAATGTCGTATTCAATTTGTAACCTTGAAGCATCTTAAAATAGATCACGGGGTCATCTACAATATCGTATTAACCACTTATTACTCCTCTTAAAGAGAGGTAGAAAGCACTCACTACTCACAATATAATTGCGACGTTTACTACGTACGTACACTGAAATAGCAAGTTGCGTTACTTACGTTTTACTACCGACCTGGAAGGAACAAGTTTTAAGTAGAACTACGAAAATCGGACAATATTTTTGACGTCAATGCCATATAATATTTTTTTAAGTATTTTGAAACAAAATATAATGGCGCATATTAACACTATATTTGTACATAATTGTATAAGCATACATGTTACTAACAATTTGTGTCGTCTCACTTGTGCTGTCTCTTTTGTTCTAGGAATCAATTAGTGAATAAATTTTCTGTATACACTCCCTCCATGGTGTTTATAAAACTAGCATGAAACGGACACTGGCAGAATTGGGACAACTAGTCTCACAAGCCATTCATTAGGAAAAAATATATAATGGCGCCAGTTAATGCGAAATGCTCTACGAGATTCCTTTAATCATTATAATGAAACCGCTTCGTAGTCAAAAGTTTACTTGGATATCCACGTTCAGCTAACACATTCTAGATAATCATAGAAAAATAGGTCATCTTATTGTTGTTGCATACTAGACACAAGTAGCACAGTCTATAACGGTTTACTTCTCTCAACTTTTGTATCGATTAAGTTCACAATGCACCCTTTAATGTTATGACCAAAGCGCCACAACAGTTAAAAAATGGTGTATCCTTATACCTTGTGCTACCATTATGAAAAAATTATACAAATTAGAAAATCAGTTCAGTCAGTCACTTTGATGTAGGTGTACTGTATACAGCTTATAATCTTATCGATTGAATCGGTACAGCGATAAAGTTAATCATGCGATATGTGAGTCCTACAACAATGCTAACGTCACAAATTCAACCTAATGTTTATATTAGGTTCAAAAAAAACAATAAAAGCTAAAATAGCGTTGTGTGCTCTATCATGTAGACGGATACACTTGATGTAACTTACTAAGTTCTTAGTGTGACTCCGGAATCTCAAGCACTATAAAAATATACCTGGTCTCAGCCCAAAATAAATGATTTGAATTAGATAATTTGGAAAATGCCAGATAATAGTGAAGAGACGGCGAAAAAAACAGTCCTATCTACAAGAGAAATAGACATGCTATATATTTTCAAAATATTGCATTAGTTTGGTGGGCATTCTGCGCTGAGATTTTGCCAGAACTCACCTCTCATTCAGGTAAAAAAGTAAAGCTAAAGCATGGTTTATATTGTAAATAATAATGATTGGAATAGTGACAATAACGTACCAAGTCGTAAGAATGATAGTTAACAAAAACAGAAGTTATTATGGTTGTTTGAAGAGTATTCAAGAATGAGGTGTTATGTTGTAAGAAATACAGTAGTAGAGCAATGAGTGCGAGTAAGAAGTCCGGGAGTAACTTAACCTTAATATCTCGGAAACTAAGAATTTTTATTTTTTATTTTATTAATACTTATTCAAATAAAAAGTGTTTTACGGAGCAATTATTAGTACAGAAATAAAATTTATAAAACTTCTCGGTTGCTGTAAAAAAATAATGCCATCAAAAAGACTAAGCACAAAATAAATGCTTTTTTTTAATCGGACTATGAATTCACTGCATCTGTTTTTGCTTCTGTTTCTGTTCAATCACAAAAAATGTTTATAAAAAGCGTTCCTGACACTTTATTTTCATTATTTAAATGCTAATTATGGCACACCCCCTAAAAATGTACTAAATTCCTAACAAAGCTAGAAGACGGCTGAGCCAGCGTAATACAACACTACAGCGGGTTCTTTAACGATACCAGGAGGCCGGCTCTTACCTATACATGTCAGGGGCCCTACACTCGAAGCACGAAATCCGTATTTACAACCGTTTTCCCACTATGGATGACCTACAGACCTGACATTTCAAACGGGGCGGTCTTTTCGTTGATGAACTTCAAGAATAGACCCTTAGTGGGGAAACAGCCATAACTACGGATTTCGTGCTTATAGTTTTCATGAGTAGGGCCTCAGGAACAGGCAGGTACCTACGACCGACAACACGGAAAGATACCTATATGATGAACATAATACTCCGAAATCG